ATAGATAGATAGATAGATAGATAGATAGATAGATAGATAGATAGATAGATAGATAGACAGACAGACAGACAGATATCCTTTGAGGCCTGAAAACCAGTCTTCCCTGTAGATGGCAAAAGTCAGAAAGAGCAGGCTCCTGTTAGAAAAAGCTGGAAACTGTGGGGAAGCATGACTTGAAAGGATTCCATCAAAAGCCAGGGAGCTTTGGAAGAGAAGCCTGGGTTCAGACGAGAGTTGTACAGATTTTAGCCTTCAAGGTCCTTTTAGCCTTCAAGGTCCAAGCAGATGGCCCAGCCAACCTGAACCTGACCCGGGAAACAGAGCAATTATAAATGTGCTGTTTTACCGCTGCCGAGTCTGTGGTCATCGGCCATGGAAGAGCTAGAAAACGAATACTCAAAACCTGATCATCACTCTTCTATTTCCGGCAGGTATAAGGGCCTCCTGGGCTTCTGCTCCCCAGCTCCCCCCACAGGCACCACCGCCGCCGTCCCCATTCTATTGGCTCTTCCTCTCCCTCAGGCACTCACCGAGCCCTGAACTCACACAAGCTGGTACCCACCTGGCCCTGCGCTTGCGCACTCTGCGCTCATGCTCGGCCTCCTCGTAGTAATACTCGTTGTGGCTGTTGTCCCGCCTCCGCGCCGCTGCCGCAATCACAGCCCTTGACTGGCCAGTGGAGTTATTGGTGCTGTTTTCTGCACAGGATCAGGACAGAGGAGATGGTCAAAAAAAAAAAAAAGAGTGCAGCCCTCTGCACATGGTTGGAGCTCTGGGACCATGGCCTGACGCATCCAGAGGATGTGTCCCCACCACCCGGCAAGGCCTCCCAGTCCCAGCCCTCCTGGCCACCTCTGGGAGAAACTGCAGGAAAGCAACCAGGAAGGCATCGGAAGGGCAGAAGTCCTGCATGTAAGCCTCCTGCTGCAGGAGGCTTAGCAGCTCAGGGCCAAAGGGTAGAGAGACCAGGGCTGTGAGAAGACAACAGGCGCTAAACCAGGGGCTACACCGTAGCATAAAGAGGATCAGCAGCTAAGACCAGCTAGCTACCTGAAGTCAAGGGAAAATGACAGAACAGAGAGGGCTTGGGACACAGGCCAGAGGAAGGAAAAGGCAAGGGAAGTATCGTGGAGTCCTGCTTAGGAAGAGGCCAGGAGGGGCGGAGGCGCAGGGCCGCTCACCCTCTCCGAGAGAATACACCTTGAAGCCAGACACTTTCTTGGCCAGGACGGACTTGGGCAGGTTGAGGAGGGCGGGGTTGTAGACAGGGAAGTCATGGTAATACTTCTCCAGGATCCACACTGCCACTCGCTGGATGCTGTTGGGGAGACGGCAGGAGGGGGGGGGAGGGAGGAGGGACAGACAAGGGGCGCAGGGGAAGGGACACATCAGGGCAGGTCGGCAGGGCTGGAGAGGACACATGACGGGGACAAGCTGCTTCCAGGAAGCCTGGCTCAAGCCTGAGGTCTACTTACCAGGTCCCTAACCTTGCCCCATGGCTGGGTCTGCCTAGTCATTTCCTACCAGGCTGAAGCCCAGAGGTAAAAGGGCCCCAGCCAACCTCAACCCCCTCCAACATTCTCCCAAGGTTCCTGGCGGGACCTGGGAGGTGCCACTGATGCTCTGCCCAGCCAAGGGGAGGGAGGGAGACATCCTGCCCACCAGCCTGGTGGGAGGTGACTTTCTCTCTCTCCCTCTGGCGGTCCATCCTCTGGCCAGCTCATCCCAGTAGCGGTCACTGACTACTCACACAGGAAGCTGCGCCTCCCAGAAAAGTTTAGAAACCTTCTGTTTAGACCTCTCTCCGCTTTGGTCCATCCTCCTCTAAGATACCTGATTTTGAATTGCCTTTCACTCCTAGATCACAACTCCCATAGGCATCTCGCCCACAATCCTACAATCATACATGCTTTGCCATTAGGCTGAAAATATCACTGAACTCTCTTCCTGTGTGCAAACTCCCTCCCGCCCAGCCCCTCTAATCCATCACTTACTGTCCCCACCATCACACCCTCCCTCCCGCCCAAACCCTGTCAAGGTCTCCTCTTGGTCCTCAGCAAGTCCCACCTACTGCCATGCACTCATACCTGAGATGGCCGACATTGTAGAAGCGGCTGGCCCCGTCCGTCGATCGCACGACCTTGAGCGTGAACTGGGGCTGGAGCTGGCGTAGCTCCAGCAGAACCACAGCCAGGTAGTGCACGAAGAGCAGGGCGTCCACTAGCGAAACGGCAAACTGCACCACGCCCTGGTAGCTGCGCTCCCGGGCATCCAAGATGCGCACGCCGTAGAAGAGCCAGTAGGAGATAACCAGCAGGAAGACGAGCACCATGAGCAAGGCGCGCAACACGAAGACTCGGGGCAGCGAGGCCTTGGGCCGGCGGAAGAACAGAGCCCAGCTGCCCAGCAGCAGGATGAGCAGCTTGAAGGCCACAGAGATGAAGAGGCCCTCACAGGCTGTCCCACATGGCTCCAGCTCCTCCCGCCACAGCAGCGGAGGCAGAAGCAGGAAAGCCAGTGGGGTGAGGAAAGAGAGCAGCGCCAGCGTGGCCCCCGCCGCCACGCCCAAGTGGCGCGAACAATCCAGCGGGACGCTGTCCTCCATGTCCTTGGCGATGCGCGTGAGGTCATCGTGGGAGATGCTGTGCTCAGAGGTGCCTGTGACAACGGTTGTGGTTTCTCCCCAGTTGTCGTCCTACAGTCGGGAAGGGGGTGAAGAGAGAAGGGGTGAGCAGAGGCAGAGGCGCAGGCGGGCGAGGGCACTGCGGGAAGAAGACGGGAGGTCACCGCCACACACACGCAGCAGTCATCAGAGAGAGCTCGCTGAGCTCCACTGTGCGCGTGCCCATCTCGTCTCTGCAGAAACTGCAACCTGAAACTCAAGTCCCTGGGGAGCTGCATGGAGATCAGAGAGGAAAACGGTCACGTGTGCGGTGACGACCCCCAGGAAAATGGAGTGCAGGACCGCTGCCAAAAGAATAGCCTGGGCAGTGACAGTGACCCAAGTGCAGGCTTGCCAAGGCAAAACAGGCGCCTTTTTTCCAGAGAGTGACAGGCCCCGAGCTGACCCCCAGCAGCAGGTGACATGTAAAAGCTCATCTGAATTAGTGGTTCCCAACCCCAGCCACACACATTAGAATCACCTAGGGAGCTTGGAAAACATACCAATTATGCAAAGTGAGATCTGCTTGTCAACCTTTTTTTTTTTTTTTTAAAGGCTCCCAAGATGATTATAATGTTCAGCCAAGATTGGGAACTCTGCACTAAATGATCCCTGGGGGCCGCTCGTCAGAATGCACTCTGTGGACCAGCAGCGTGGAAATCACCCGGGAGCCTGTGAGAAATGCAGAACCACAGGCCCACCAAACATTGACTAAGCCTGCCCGGTCCGCACTTAAACAAGATGCCCATGAACTGTTGAGATTCAAAGAGCCGGGGATCCACGTGCAGGGGCAGAGGGCAGAGTGCCTGGGAAGGGGAAGCCAGACGCCCCTTGTGCAGGCCATGTGGCAGTGCCAGGCTAAGCAACAGACATCTCTCCCAGTCAAGTGAGGTAACGTGTGACTATGATCCCAGTACACAGGAGGTTGAAGCAGGAGGATTCGTGTGAGTTCAAGATTAGCCTGGGCCACAGAACAAGACAATCTGGGGGGGGGGGGGGAGAGACAGGGGCTTTTACATGCCTGTGATCCTAGCACTTGGGGAGGTAGAGGAAGAAAGATCAGAGGTTCAAAACCAACCTCAGTAATATATTAGTAAGTTCAAGGCCAGCCTGAAGTAAATGAGACCTTGTCTTTTTAAAAAGGCATCTGTCCTCCAACCATGAGGAGCTACTACAGCTTTCTCACTAAGGGAGAAGAGGAGACAGGAAGACCAGTGAATGACCGACATAGGATATGGGAAACACGCTGCAGACTCAGGATCACCGTGGGTCTCTATGAGGCTAGCTCTGCCGGGTGGCCATCTGAATTATCAGGGTATAGGGTCTGTGGAGGATAAGCAGCGGACAGGCTGGGCTCCTCAGCCGCCCTTCAGAGTGTGATCCGCCCAAATCTGTCTCTCTGCAGTGGCTAGACACCATCTTATAAAGAAGTCCCCCTTTTCTCCAAGATGGCGCCGGAAGCGAAGAAGGAAGCTCCTGCCCCTCCCAAAGCCGAAGCCAAAGTGAAGGCCTTGAAAGCGGAGAAGGCGGTGCTGAAAGGCGTCCACAGCCACAAAAAGAAGAAGATCCGCACGTCACCCACGTTCCGGCGGCCCAAGACGCTGCGGCTCCGAAGGCAGCCCAAATATCCTCAAAAGAGCGCGCCCAGGAGAAACAAGCTTGACCTCTATGCCATCATCAAATTCCCCCGACCACTGAGTCAGCCATGAAGAAGATACAAGACAACAACACACTTGTGTTCATTGTGGATGTCAAGGCCAACAAGCACCAGGTCAACCAGGCTGGGAAGACACTCTCTGACATGGATGTGACCAAAGTTAACACTCTCATAAGGTCCAACAGAGAGAAGGCGTATGTTCGGTCAGCTCCTGACTATGATGCTCTGGATATTGCCAACAAAACTGGGATCATCTAAACTGAGTCCAGCTGGCTAATTCTAAATATACTTTTTCACCATAAAAAAAAAAAAAAAAGTAAGTTCCAAGATCACCAGGACTTTCAGTTACCCACAATTCACTTCCAGAACATTCCAGCCTGGACATATGGAAATCATACCCTGAAACCCAGGGGATGCAGGCTACAAGACTGACCCACACAGTGCAGTGTAAAGGGGTAGCCTGGGGTAGCCTGGAAGGGCCAGTGACTAGAGAACGGAGGAGTCTCCTCTCCCACAGATGGGGGAAGAATCCGATGTGAATATAGAAAATAGAAGAGCCGGCCACTGTCGGCTGTGGGACTGGAACCACACCCTCACCCGGTGACCCCAGATACACTGTCAGCCCTCTCAAAGATCAAGGCCTAGGGAACCCCACCCCAACAGGCAGTGACCTAATCATGTCTCAAGATCACTTCAAAAATCTATGAAGAGTTCCCAATGCTAGAGAGGTGTTGTCTGTCCCCCGCCCCAACCCTTCCCCTCCACCCCCGCCCCACCCCACTGAGAGAAAAGAAGCTAAGAGTCTCCATTACCTAAGATACTCCCAGGAAGAAAGTACAGGAATAAGATAAGCTCAGTGTCACTGCAAATCCTGTCCCTCCTAAACTCCAGGACTGTGTTCTGCCTACTGTCCTCTCGACCCAGGGAATGCAGTGAACCAGAAGTCAGGGCGGACACAATGGTGCCCCGTCCTGGAGAATTCTTTTCCAAGGTGCCTCCCTTAACTGCTCAGCCTCTTCTCTCTTGCCCCGGCTCCATCTCCTCTTCCCAAAACCTCTTCTTCCCTAGGACCTAGATGATGCTGTTCCACCAGCTAACAGCAGAGGGCATAAACCAGAGGGAAACCTGTGGTCTTCTCCCCAAGACCCCCGCCCTCCTACTCCAGCCTGTACCAGCCTGACTGGCGGACAGGAGCGTTGGAGGGGCAGGGACCTTTCTCCTCACTCTGCTAAAGCCCTTCCGCCTCTTGAGAAAGGGTAGGAGCCAGTACCTCCAAAAGGGTTTCCACTAAAATCCCCAGACTTCCACTGAAACACTAAACAAAGGAAGAGAACAGCAGTGCACACCCGTAATCCCTACATTTGGGAGTCAGAGACAGGAGGATTCCATTTTAAAACCAGTCTGGGGGCCAGGCATAGTAGCACACACTTTTAATCCCAGCACTCAGGGGACAGGGGCAGGCGGATTTCTGTGAGTTCTCTAGCCAGGGCTACACTGTAAGACCCTGTCTTACAACAACCACCACCACCACAAAAACAAAACAAAACAAACAAAACCCCAAGACCAGTCTGCGCTACATAATGAGTTCAAGGCCAGCCTGGGTTACAAAAAAAAAAAAAAGACCCTGTCTTGAAAAACAAACAAAAAGATACCCTTCTGGATCCTGCGTCTGTCCTAGGAGACCAGATAGCCATCTCAGCCCTTCCCTTCACTAGCCGGGCCTCCACCTCCCCGCAAGGGATCAGAAAATGTCAGAGTTAAAGCACTTTATCCCCAGTACTCACCCGCTCATCTCCCCTAGTGGACTCATTGTCCAGCAGGGGCTCTCCTGGAGCCTGGATCGTCACCGATTTATCTCCACGGCTCCCATCCCGGCTCTTAGAGCGGTGTCGGTCCCGCCGGTCCCTGCAGCCAGAGAAACAGGAACAAAAGGTCAAGAGGGAGTCAAGGTCCTTCAGGTCCCCTCCCCCCCACCTCAGCATACACCGCCGCCTCTCTCCTCCACGCAGCTGGACCCTCTCCTCCACGCAGCCGGACCCCCTCCACCACGCAGCCGGACCCCCTCCTCCACGCAGCCGGACCCTCTCCACCACGCAGCCGGACCCTCTCCACCACGCAGCCGGACCCTCTCCACCACGCAGCCGGACCCTCTCCACCATGCAGCCGGACCCTCTCCACCACGCAGCCGGACCCTCTCCTCCACGCAGCCGGACCCTCTCCACCATGCAGCCGGACCCTCTCCACCACGGAGCCGGACCCTCTCCTCCATGCAGCCGGACCCTCTCCATCACGCAGCCGGACCCTCTCCACCACGCAGCCGGACCCTCTCCTCCACGCAGCCGGACCCTCTCCACCATGCAGCCGGACTCACCGATGCTTTCGGGAGCTGCGGGAATGGCCCGACTTATAAGAATAGCCCGAGTACTGGGACTCGGTGTCCATGGCGTCTGAACGCCGTGCCTTGTAGCGCTCCAGGGCCGCGGGCTGGGGCCTCTTGGGGGGCCCCACAGCCACCTCCTTCAGCACAGGCTTCTTCAGGCCAAGAGGCACCTTTAGGAAGTCAACCGTCACCCTGAGGGACTCTATTTTGCTGGACGAGTTGGGCTTATCTCAGAGAAATTCAAGCGACGATCCCTGAGGAGATAAAGCAGTTGCTTAGGGGTCGCTCGGGCTCCCCATGGGTGAGGACACAAAAGAAAACCATCCCCAAATGTCACCAGAAGCTCGGGTAAGCCCAGACACTACCTGAGGATACCTCATTTTGGGTTCCTGTTCTGTCCAATGGCCTCAGCTCCTCCTGCTCTGCCAGCTAGAAAGACCCTCCACCCCCAGTGTGTCTAGTATTCAGGGCTGGGGCAAATGTCAGCACAGGCTTCCAGGGCAAGAAGGTCACCCAGAATAACCCAGCTTGGATGCCCCACTGGGAAGAATCAAGGCAGTACTTTCCTATTCTCAGCCAGGAAAAGGGAGACTTAGCAACACGTGCATGTATGTACAAGCTCACAAACATAATCTCTCTCTCTCTCTCTCTCTCTCTCTCTCTCTCTCTCTCTCTCTCTCTCTCTCATTGATGGGTAGATGGGGGATGGAGACTGACAACACAGTGAAGTAAAAAACAAACAGAAGCATCCTCCAAAACGCCTAAACTCTCTGGACATGCAAGATGGAAAGTCGATCTCCACTTTGGGCTGATGGGCAGCCTCCTTCATCTACCCTGCACGACTAACTCTGCAGCAGAGGGTGGCACCTCCTCCCCGATTTTCCAAGTGCCACCCCCCCATCCTTCAGAGCCCAGCCCCAACTCTCACAAAAAAGCACCAGCTACTCCAGCAACCGAGGTCATCTTCTCCACGGATGCTGCTGGCAACACTAACTGAAGTCATCACCGTGCCCTGGGCACCTCCTGCCTTCACTCACGGATGGAGCAAACCTCTCAAACTCACCGACTTGGAACTACACACTTTGCTATGCCCTGGGTGTTGTGGTGTAACTGACTCTGGGTTTACGGTCTAGGGGAAGATGCACACTGAGCAGCTAAAGCCAATAAACCCAAGCAGCCGTGTCAGCGTGGGGAAGGAAGGGAACAAGACGGTAGACAACAGGCAAATGTATTGGGGATGTTCTAAGCAAGCATTCTACCATTGAGCTAGCTACATCTCCAGCCCCACGGAGGAACTTTAAACTGAGTGTCTGGAAACTGGGGGGCGCAGGACACGACACTCAAACAGATGCCCAAGAGAGGGAGAAAAGGCCCCAGGAGAGGAAGGAATAACACCACACGAGAGAAGGCCAAGTCAAGAAAGGGCTGGTATATTTAAAGAACCACCAACCGCCAACCGAGGACCAGAGCAGAGCGGCTGACAGGAACAGCGGGAGGCAATGGGAAGGTCGGGGTTTACTCGAGGGTTATCAGGAAGCCTCTTTAGCTGTGCAGATTTGGGTTGGAAAGAAGAAAAAGCCGAAACGGAGAGAGCAGTGAGGAGGTCCTCGGCACGAAGACTTGGCCCACCAGAACCAAGGAAGAGGTAAGAAATGGACTGACTCACAGAACCAATCAAAGGCTGGCTGAGGGGGTGAGGAGCAACAAAAACACGCAGTCAAGCACACAAAGTAACACACAAAGTAAGTAAGTAAAATGCAATCAAAATAATTTAAAAAAAAAAAAAACCTAGCCTGAGCAAGGGAGAAGGTACTGGGTCTCTGGTGAGGCAGAGAATTGGGGACGATCCTGTTTGTGAAGGAGCATGTGTGGGGAGGAGCAAGCTTGGAGAGGAGAGGGCTGTGAGTACTGTTCTCCGCGCATTGAAGCTCATGGCTGTGAGGAATGGACAGCTGGGCATCCAGTGAGCTGGCGTCTGAGCTGGAGGTACGGGCAACAGGCAGAGAGACACGGCACCGAGCTCAGGAGCAGACTGTGTCATTGGATTCAAGAACTCCACACTGCACGTGAGTGAGGGAATCCAGCAAAGAGGCTGAGAAGGGGAGACCAGAGGCCAGTCGAGTGTAATCTCAAGACCACCAGTAAGACAAGTGGAATTCCAGGGAGGAATAAACACAACCAGGTCCAAGGTGGCCAAGAAGTCCATTGTTTTACGCACTGAAACAGATTTGCTTTGTGGAATTATCTTCTTTCCAACCACTTTAAATCACCAACCACTGGAGAATGAGCTGGATAAGTCACACATATTTGCAGACATCTCCCCTCCTTGCGGGTACAGAGCAAGCAACCGATACCCACCTAAGTAAACAAATACGCTTGTCTGACTGTCAGGGAAACTGCCGTTGTGGGGAGATAAGAATCAATGTGAAATCTATTCACTTCTCCTCCTAACAGAGTCAGTCCATGAGCCAGCGATATCAATACCCCCACATCAAAGCAATATGTGATAGACATACTTTGGGGACAGATATACCTCAACCCAAACCTGAACCTCTCTAAAACGAGGCCACAAACAGGGCCCACCCCATGTTCACCCCTCTGTGTACAAACTACACGCCGGGTTCCTCTACCCCTCCTCTGGGAACCCACTCTACTGGTTTACTCCTCCACGCGGTTCAGACAGGCATGGCTGCACTACTTTTTGATGTGGTTCCCACCTATTCTTTCTAGTTGTCCTCTTAAAAACTGAACTTCGCCAGGAGGCTCTGAGACCGACAGATTGGGCAGGGGAGAAAGGGGAGGGGGTGAAGTAAAGGACAAAGAAGAGCCATGGATTAGATCCAGACAGACACTAGAGCCCTCTCATCCGCCATCCTCATCCCCAAATACCTGCACTCTATTTACCAGAGCCAACAGCAGAAAGAGCCTGGGATTTACACAAAGATCTGGGTTTAAAATCCACCATCCCCACTGCTGAGCTGTGTGACTGGGGGCAAGTTACCCTTTTGTGCTTATGGCCCGGTGAGCCCTTTGGTAAGACAAGAGGTGATGATGATACCTCCTTCATAGGGTAGCTGCAAGGAACACAGGGATGAAGGAAGTGCTTCCACAGACTGTACAGCTACTAATAGTTAAGCAATTAATAAGCTCTCAGACTCCGGTCCCCAACCACTTCCTCTGAAACTAGGGAAGGCGGTGGTATAAATAAATTGTATGACTAAATAAAGAACTCTCACGCGCGCACACACACACCCACCCCAAGCAGACCCACTACTTCAAACACACCCAGATGTGAGGTGAAGCCGCTCCGTTTCCCCTGCAGATAAATTTCAAGCCAGACAGGGTGCCAGCCATCTCCCAACTCTTTGTTCTGAGTTACTTAGCCTGGAGCCCCTTCCCTTCCTCCCTAGCAAGATGAACCCCACAGCCCTGGCATACAGGGGGCTACCCAAAATGCAGCAAATCATGCTCCTCCCTCAGCTACCAAACACAGGGGGCACAAAGGACCACAACTTCTGAAGCCCTTGCCTGCTGTCCCTTTGGGGAAGGGATAAAGGGTAGGCAAAAAGATGGGCAGAAGTCCCCCCCCCTTACATAATCAGTCTCAAGAATCAGGTTTGGAGGGTCTCCCGGGTGGGCAGCGTTCCCAGGAAACAAGGTGGGGGAGGGGAATCAGTGGATGAGATCAACAAGTAGAAATGTCAGCGCGATGAGAAGACAGGAGCCGAGTCTAGACTTGGCACAGGGCAGAGCGCTGCACCCAGCTGAGGGGCAGAGGGTGGGAGGCTGTAAAAAGCGAATATGCCCCACTGTTTTTCAACTCACACACACTCCTCAAGACACAAACACAGGCACCTAGTCCCCTACTCAAACCAGCCATGGATTATCTGGGGTTAAAAGGAGGCCAAAGAAGAGAGAGGGAGAGCAGAGAGAGCCCCACACAAAAAGGAGACCCTTCTTCCCTCCAAAGGCCTTTCAGAAATAAAATTAATGGAATGTGTCTCAGTATCACCCCAAGGGAATTGGGGGGAGGGCTGAGGGGAATGTGGGGGCTTTTGTCCCGGCTGCCCAGCTTCTCCCACATTGATCACCATAGCAACCAAAGCCCCCTGTTGCCTAGGTGATGGCAGCCAGGTCCTGGAACCCATACCCAGCATCCAAAGCGAGAAAGGTTATAGAGGTGGGGGAACGGGACAGAGGGGGAGAGAATGGGGTTTCTCCTCTGGCAGCCCCAGCTTTTGTCTGAGCTTGGGATCGGGTTTCTTCAAGAAACAATCGGAGGCCTCCAGAAGAAAATAAACTGAAAGCCTGGCAAGAGGCAGGGAGAGCAAGGCCCTAGGGGACATGGTACGTGGGTGGATATGGGTGCTGGGAAAATACAGACCAGCACCAACTGACCCTTCCTCACCCACCCCTCACAGGAACAGCTGAGTGGACAGTCAAGTGTTCTTCATGTGTGCAAGCGCGCGCACACACACACACACACACACACACACACACACACACACACAAAACATGTGGTAGGTGCTCAGGACAGCGACCAGGCATAGGAGCCCGTGGTCACCACCTCCTTTTGCCATTGCTCTAGCCCTGCAGGGCAATTCAGGTCTGTGGACCCGGGATGGGGACATGGGGCAGAGCACACTGAGGAAACATCTGGAAAGAAGCAGGAGTCAGGGTGACTCAGCCAGCAGAGAAAGGTAGGGAAGGGACCGATCCAAGCGCACACCTCTAAAGAGCCTGCCTGACTCTCTTCTTCATCTATACTGGTATCAGGCCTGGAAGCAGCAGGTCTGTGGGGCAGAGGTATCTGGGTTTCGTGAGGATGGAAAAGTGGACAAGAAGCTAAAAGTACTGCTTTGACAGGAGTCTGTCTCTGGTAGGCCCCATGTCCTCTTCTCTGCCAGAGACCGGGAAGGGTAGTCCTGCCTGGGGACAGGTATTCCTTTGGAAGAGGCATCCGTCTGTGGGACCTTGCCCGTTACAGCCCTCTGATTCCCACACAACAGTCAGGGTCTTACTGTATCCGGCCTGGCCCGCCTGCTGCACCACAGCCTGTAGGTAGTAGGTGAGTGACTCCTAAGTTGCCCTCCCAAGTGCTGAGTGCCTACTTTGGGGAAGGGGGTTACTTAGCTATCTGGCCAGGAGCAGAGCACCTAGTCCTAGGTCAGAGCAAAGGTTCAAAGGTTCTTTCGTTCTTCACCACATTATCAGAGATGAGGCCAAACATCTCTGTCAGGCTGTAGTGGAGACTCAAGGCTTTTGATGGGGTGAAAATACAGACACCTAATTTGAGTCTCTAAAGAAAGTGGTGGAGCTCTGACTCTGCCCCCTTCTCTCCTACACTGGGAGAGAGTGAACTGACCCACCCAGTTCTCTCAGCAGCTGCAAGCATTAGAACCCTAAAACCAACCAAATTTTACAGTAAGGCCCAGTGAAGGGAAGGAAATGGCTGGCCAGTGGTCACTACATCCATGACAGCCCATTCTGGCTGTGTGTGTGTGTGTGTGTGTGTGTGTGTGTGTGTGTGTGTGTGTGTGTGTGTGTGTTTTGTATATCTACTTGCCACATGCGTGCCTGGTGCCTGCGGAAGTCAGAAGAGGGCACCAGATCCCCTGGAACTTGAGTTATATGCAGTTGTGAGCCACCATGTGGGTGCTGGGAATTGAATCTTGGTCCTCTGCAAGAGCAGCCAGTGTTCTTAACCAGTGAGCCATCTCTCTAGCCTGCCCCCCCCCCCATTCTGGCCTCTTACAGCTGGGAAAAATCCACTAGCACTTGGGTTTAAGGGGAAATCTCTTGAAGAGCAACCAGATTCTTCTGTGAGTCCCCCTTGCTCTTTCAACAGACAAACAGTACAAGAAATGGAGGGAAGGGGGAGATTTGCCGACTCCTGAGCCTTCCCAGCAGTGACAAAAGGTCAGAGGTCAGGTAGGCCTAAGCCTAGTGGCAAAGAATCCCTATGTAACCAGCCACCACTCCAAAGAATGTCAGCACTCCTTCCTTCCTCCCCACCCAGCCTTGGACCCGGACAAGCCACCCATCCCAAGGGGCTCATGCGAGATCCTTCCCACCACAGAAAGAACCAAGGTCCAGATGGGCACGGACCACCCTTCGTCTAAAATTGGGCTCCAGACCAGATCCACCCTTACGCCCTCAGAAAAGACCCAGTGGCTCTAGCCACCAAGAGGCCAAAGAAGGCAGCTGGATCTCAGGGGGCCCGGTGGGAAGGCTGCAAGACCGGGTGCCCAGGAGCTGGCACCAGGTGCCCCACCCCCATACTGCTAACCAAGCACTCTCCTAGGAGGGCCAGACATGAGCTCACCATCCTCACAGCCCCAGGGTGGGGGCCGGAGCCTTCTCCTAGCAGGGGAGGGGCCGAGTGGCAGGGGAAGAGCCCACAGATGGGCTCCTGCCAGGGTACCAGATACTAACTAGAAAGGAGCTAGGAAGCGGAGCCACGCCCCTTTCCACCTTCTGTAATTTCCCTCCGAGGGAAGCGGGGAAGTGTGGAGGACACCCTCCACATCCAGACGTGAAACACTGACACACACATACACAGGCAACATATATTCTAGTTCCCCTTCTGAAACCTGGAATGGTTCCTGCCTGCCCCACCCAGCTCCACCCACCCTGGCTAGGCAGGTTCTGTAGAGACCTGTTCTGCTCTCTCTCTGTGGCACCCCCACCCCCATCCCGCTCTCAAAGTCCCTGCCCCCAGTCCAGCACATACACAACGCATGCGCACATACGAACACATGCACAGCCCATAGCATCCCATCCTCTGGTTTCCCCTAGATCCATCCCTGGTCAATCTGGAGCAGGATGTTGAGGGATAAAGATTCCCTTTGGCATCTTTCCCAGGTTGAGGCTATAGGGAGAGAGGACACAGAACTTGTACAGAGGCAACCGGGACTGAAATGCCAGGTTGCTCTATTTAATTTTCGCCACCCACAGGGCTTCGACCCGCTGCCTCCCAGGCTGTGGCAAAAGAGGCCCCTCCCCACATACCAGGTGAGGTGTAGACGGACTTGGGAGGAAAATGGGAGGACAACAGGAAGTAGGTGAGCTGTGCAGACCCACAGACCCACTTCCCGCCCACCGTCATACAAAATGCCTGCCTGTCTTCACTGCCTGATGTCCTGAGTGGGCCTCAACTGTCCCTGACCCCAAGAGACCTCAAAGCCTGCTCACCCAGCCCCTGCCTCAAGGCCGGAAGAGTTGTTTAGGAAGGGGAAGCCAGCCAACCCCAGGCTGGCAATGTGGACCAGGGGATCTGAGATGTGGGGATGGGAAGGAAGCCATATGGGACACTGTGGGTGAAGGCCGGATTGTATGGGGAAGCAGTAGTGAGAGCCTCAAGGTGTGAGACAGTGTGCATGTGTGTGTGTGTGCCATGTGCCGTGTGTGTGCCGTGTGTGTGTGTGTGTGTGTGTGTGTGTGTGTGTGTGTGCCAGGCCTGGGTTTCTCCATAAAAGCCCCTCCACCGACCTCAGCCCGGGGCCTCTCCTATCGAGGAACAGTGAGCAGGCCGAAAGGCCTGAGTTCCAGCCAGCCTCCGCCCTCCTGACAACACCCACCTCCCTCACCCGACCGAGATTCTCACTCTTTCTGCAGATTATCAACTCCCCCACCCATCCTTCTATCTACCACTTCCATTCCTGGAGTAAAGCAGGACGACAAAAATAAGTGCTTCTGTTCACACTTGGCTGTTTTTCCCGAGTCGCCACTTCACACCTCAGGCTCGGCACCTGTTTCGGTCTGACCTCCTCCCTTATCCTAAAAAGCCAGTGCCCCCATTCACAAACCCCCTCTTCTCTTCTGTCCAGGCCGGGGGAGCCAGGCGCCGGTGAGAGCGGAACTCGAAGGCCCGCAGTCCCGACTGTGGGGAAACCCTCGGGCAGGGACGGCCAAGGCCCCTCTCCACCCAAGATTCCGTGAGCTCCGCCTCTTTGCTGCAGCCCCTGCTCCACACAGACAGGAAGCGCTTCGGCTCCAACAGGAGCCCCCAAGTCCGGCTCAGATGATGAGGGGCCCTCCTGGGCGAAGACTGGGTTTCTCCCTAAGACCCCATCTGCTTCTCATCCTTAGAGGATGTCTCCACTCATCAGGCGACATGGACTCGAGCTGGCTTTCCAAGGGGGAAGAGGAATTAGTCACGTTCAAGGCTAAAGCCAAGAACGAGCAGCCCCATAGAATCGGGACGGCAGCTCGGACAGACGACAAGAGCACTCTGGGGACAGGAAGACCAAAGAGCAAAGAAATCACAGAGATCAGGCACAGCCTTCAGGAGCTACGCTGTCTTGAAGACCTCCTTGTCTCAGCTAAGCTTGTTTTCCTGTCTGTAAAATGGGCACAATAGTTTTCTATATAATGTATCTAAGTGAATCACAGAAGCTGTAACATACAAGATGCTCAATAAGGCTGGGTGTAATGTCCACACGCCTTCGCGATCCCTGCACTTGAGAGGCAGAGGCAGGCAGATCTCTGTGAGTTTGAGGCCAGCCTGGTCTACAACACAGTTCCAGGCCCATCAGGGCCACACAGTGAGACCCTTAAAAAATAGATAGATAGATAGACAGACAGACAGACAGACAGACAGACAGACAGAAACTGATGCTTAGTGAAATGTTGGTTTCCCAACTCTTTTAGGCACTGCAGGTCAATCCTTCTACTTCTTTCTTCTAGCCTCATTATAAAAAGGTAGCTTCCACTCAGAATAAGGAGGAACCATCCTTGGGTGCAGAGGTGGTTCCTCCCCAACATGGGCCTCAGCCAGAAATTAATCGCACAGTGATCCATTTCCTCGGGAGCTCTTGGGTCCCCTAGCTTCTCCCTTGCCCTCCTCCTCCCCCGACCTCAGTGCGGTCAGGCCTAGGATCCAATGGCTTCCCACTCTTCTCCAGGCTCTCATCCTAGCTACTCAGAGGAAGGAGGCCCCAAGCCTCCTGCCCCACCCCAGCCCCCAGCTACTACCCACTCTCCCCTCTCAGGGCCCCACCCTGATTACCAGGATAGTCTCAGTGCTGCTGATTCCAAACCTGCTTCTCCCAAACCCCTTCCCAGCTGTCTTGTCTGTAATTACTAACCTTGCCAGGGCCATCAGACTGGCACCGCAACAGCTCATTTCCAAAGGGCCCCACCATGGAAGCCTCTGCCTCCCACTCTGTACCAAGCTGGGGGAGGGGGGGAGAGATGAAAAGCTCCTGCATGGCCCACGGTCGCTCTGTCCAGATCTCAGCAGAGAAGGCGACAAATGGCTGTCGAAGACCAAACAGGTCGACAGAGTCCATCTGCACCTCTGCTATCAAAATCACATGGAGCACAGGACTACCCACCTGTGCAGAGGGTGAGAGGTTTCAGGTCAACTCAGAGACAGAGGAAGTTGATTGGAGGCAAAGCAGGAAGACGAATTCGCACAGGGATGAGGGCAGAGGCACACAGGTTCGAGCTTCGAGGAGAGAGGAGGAAAGGGTGGGTTAAAAAAAAAGATCTGAGAAGAGAGAGCACTATCCCAGTCTCTCCCTGATGCAGCCACTTCTACCAACTAACACCACAGGACATGAGAGGAAAGCAATCATTAATTTTGTTTTATAGCTAGGGAAACTGAGACCAAATCCGCACGCCGGACTTCAAGAGGCAGCAGTACCAAACACCCTCACAGTCCTTCTTGCTCATGCTCAGCCTCTATCAGCAAGGCCCTCCTCAGTTCTCTCCCTGTCTTCTATCCTTTAAAAACGGCTGAGAAGGGCCAGGCGTAATGGCACAGGCCTTTAATCCCTGCACCCAGGAGCTGGAGAGGCAGGCAGATCCAGGCCAGCCAAAGATTTTAAAAAGCAAGACCATGCCTCAAAATAGATATAGATAGTTGGATGGATAGATAGATAGATAGATAGATAGATAGATAGATAGATAGATAATAGATAGATGATAGAAAGGAAGGAAGGAAGGAAGGAAGGAAGGAAGGAAGGAA